CGCCTTCCACGAGGAGGACCTTCTCTTCCCCGTGTATACGCGGTGCAGCGTCCTCGCGGAGAACTCGTTTCGAATCCGGGTTTTTTGGCGGGTCCCCCGCCAAAAATCGTGCTCTTCCGTTTTTTCCTCGATTTCTCGATCGCGAGAATCGAGGAAAGTCTAAGAGAGAAAAATCGCCCGTTTTTCGAGAAGAGGACGTTTTGGTATTCGATTTGGAGAAAGATTTCAAAGATTGAAAGAGTAAGAATCAAGAGGAGAAATATTTGTTCTTGAAGAAGAAGAGTCGATCGAGTCGATCATCGTTAATTGCGATTTTTGTCACGCGCGATGTAAGTTTCCTCTCGTCGAGGAAGAATTGGAAGAGAGACGAGGGTAACGTTGATCTACACGAACGAAAAAATCTTCTTAAAATTCGAAGGAATCGGTAAGTTTGGCCGATCGTGGAGAAAGGAAGAATGAAAATGGAAGAGGAAGAAAGGAAAAGAAGGGCTGATCCCCCCCTCGAGGAAAGGAGGATAGAAAGCAACCCCGTTTGGAATCTTTTTTTCTTTCGATCGAGAATAAAACCAATCCAAGTGAGAGAAAGAATCTCGAAGATGGTAGTAACACACACACACACACACATATATATATCATGGCATTTCCACGGGAATTAAGTTTTACGCTCAATGAACGCGCAACAACAGCGTCCTTCGGGCTAAATTGCATTCAATACCACGTCTCTACGAAGAAGAAACGTGGCTACGCGGAGATGGAAGACCGCACCACCTCTTCTCGAAGGTATTCAACCAGACGCTCGCGGACAAGTTTTTTATTCCCTCTCTCGTTTCGACGACACCGGGACGCGATCTTTTCTCTTCCCTCCCGTCGAGTCCTCCTCCTCCCCTGAAGGGANCGATTTCTGGAAAGTCGCGACGCGACGCTCCGCTCCCGACACCTCGTGACGCGATTGCAACGGTACCACCCAAGGGGTGGGAAACACCCAAAGGGGGAAGAGATTTTTGCAATAACGATCGCGGTCGGAGGTAACGAGCGATGGTTGAAATGCATATTTGGTAAAATCGGTTAATACCCGGGGTAAGTACTTTGCTGGCTTTTTCTGGAACCCCATCGCCGCGTCCGCCCCCTCTTCACGCACAGACTGGCACGACACGGTGGTGCTACACGGTGGTGCAGCACTGCGGTCCATTGTGGACGCCCGTAGCGAGCGAGTGCTCTTCAGGAACAATGCGGTTGTGTGCAAACACTCGTGGAAACAATGCGGACGGAACTTAACTTTCCGCGATAGCTGGAGCTTGCCTCCTTGTACCGTATACACTACTCGGTGCAAATTGTGCTCCCAGACCACGGTTGAGCATTACGTACAACATATTTCCTTCCTCGCGAGAAATCGTGGAATATATCGTCCAATCGTTCGATATATATATATATAT